TGACGTCACCCGCAGACCTCGTTGGAATGCTTGCGATTGAAATTTCATATCGGTAAAACACCTCGTAGGAAAATCGGACATTTTCGGATTTTTTTTACAGTTGATGGCGGATTTTTTGGTTATATGGCGTTGGCAACACTGATAAGATTTTCCATAAAAATGAAAAACTTATGGAGATGTGCTATGCGCTATGCGCGGCCAATCAAAATACGTCGCTGCAAGTCACGTGATTTTTGACTTGATTATATTTAATAATATTTATGTTTTTGTTTATGAAAACAATTAAAACTAACGGAACCTCAAGTGCCTAATTCACAGTGAAAAAATTAAAAAATCAAAATTTGCAATCAAATAAACACAAACGGAACAAACAATTCATCTCATAACCTACAAAATAAATGTTGATGTATGACAAGATTGCCTTAATTTGATTGTTCGAACGCCCTATGGTTTAGGTTTTGAGTGTTTTGTCTGGTTTTGCATAGACCATTACGTATGGTTATGCGCCATGCTATGCGTTATGCAAAGTTGTCTGGGATTGCCTTAAACCCCCTGCAGTGTCCTGTAAACTGGCTATAATATTAGAGAGTTCTCGTGCCGTCCAAATTTCAAATATCGTAACGCTATTTGACAAGTATGACAGTTTTCACGGTATAAGCGTTAGCGGAGCCCGCTATCTAACGGAACTTACCGGATGCTTTACCGTAACGCTATGCTATGTCAAAACTAGTTTACGCTCCATTTATGTCTGCAAAAACAGCAACTTCTAATAATTCCTCCACAACAAACACCAAGGAAAAATTAATCAAGCTCAGGAATCTTCAGAATAAATAAAAGTTAGAAAACAAGCAAAAAAAGTGGGGTTAGATTACTCAACTCAGCTGTCAAAATGTAAACAGAATAAGGGATTAGAGGATTTATGTGTCTTCGTGCTCGAGAACTATAAAATACCATGTGAAATACCGTATTGTTAGCGGTACCGTATTAGCGTAGCGTCTGACGCACGAGAACTTTCTATTATTAGCTATTCGGCAGCACTGCAACGTCACAAGTCAAAGTGCTACAGAGCACTTGAGATGGGAGACGAGGCTATCTTCTACCACGTCCACTGAAGTGTTGACCTACCATAAAGCTTAAAATGTAACCTCATGATACGACATTCATAATATAACTAAATCTGTGATAATATGTGATAACCTAGCCACTACTAATTAATAGAAACACCATAAAGTAATTTACGCAGTTTTATTACCGCCCCAACACCTTCCTTAAAATGGTCGCTGCAAACGGCCATTATGGCCGTTTGCACCGAATATTTTAAGGAAGCCTCATGCCTCAATAGTTGTATTCCTTTCAAAAGTTTGAAACACTCGAGCTACTCGCTCCGGTGTTACTCACACTTTTTTGACATTACATTGACAATTTGACGTTTTATGCGTGTATCAAACGTCGAATTCGCTCTTTTTTGACATTATTGCTTCGACAATTTGACATTTGATACACGCATAAAACGTCAAATTGTCGAAGCAATGTCAAAAAAGAGCGAATTTCGCGCAAGTGAGAATGAGGCATTAGCATGAGTATTCTTCAAAATGACATTTTTACATGGAGAAATGTCACTTTAAGGAATATAGTTATCGCTAAGGCTGAAGACACTATGACAAATACAAAGTACAAGAGACAGATACAAAATACCAAAAAATCGAAATTTTGTATCGTGGATGGCAAGTAAATTGTATCCTGTATCCATTTATTCTGGGTTAAAGCATTGATACACGTCTTATTATATTTTTGTCTCTTGTCACTTGTACTTTGTATTTGTCATTGGGTACATTCAGGCGGTCCCAGCGGCTTAGCTCAGCCTCTCAGCAGGAACTTTATCCTCGAAACCAAAGAACAGCGTTCTCATTGGAACGAAGGTTCTGTCTTTGTCGTCCGGCATAACACTGACAAAGACAGAGTAATCGTTCTTATGAGAACGCTGTTCCTTGGTTTCGAGAATAAAGTTCCTGCTGAGAGGCTGAGCTAAGCAGCTGGGACCGCCTGAATGTACCCATTGTGTCTTCAATCTAGCTTACTTTCATGCATCCGTTTTTCCGTCAATCCGTTGATCCTGAAGTATTCCTATTGGTTCTATATTTTGGCGCCAAAATTTTGGACCAATAGGAATACTTCCGGATCAACGGATTGACGGACAAACGGATGCATGAAAAGTAAGGCTTTCTTAAAATGGTTGGTGCAAACCAAGGAGAATACACACTCTAGGAGTGTAACCATTGCCGACGTCATAACTAAGTCTTCAGCTGTTTAAACAGGCTACGTCAAGGCGGGAAGTAACATGTTGCCTAGGTCACAACTGGTTTTTTGGCGTGGCGGGGAAGGGAGGGATTTGTTCCAGGGCCCGCTCTAGCCTTTCGGCCATCCTGGGCAAAAATAAGAATTGCCGCCCTAGAAAATGATTTGGACGTGAAGGGAAAGGGGGTTATTCAGTGGCGGCCCGTGACTTTTATCTCAAGGGAGGCAGCCTAAAAAAATTTAAAAAAAGTCGTAGGTAAATTTGCAATTTTTTCGCGGAATGGAGGGAGGTTGGTAAAGTCCACAGCAGGCGCCGCCTGGGAAAGAAATTTTTTTCGAGTGCCACGCGCAAAATGTTTATCTATTTTAGCTAGCCACCGAGCCGAGCGATACCGTGCTATGCGAGAAAGGCGAAAATACAATTCTGCGATTTCAAGTAGCCGCGTTTATACTTAAGGCTTGTCCGAGCGGGTCCTAACGAAGACGATCAGAGCAGAGCGATAAAAGGCAAAAAGTTTGTGATTTGACGCTGATTGGGTTGCGTTTTTGAAAATGGATATGGAAAAATTTATACAAGAAGTTTATTTAAGAACACCAATATGGAATCAAAAAAGTCCTTCTTGTTTTTACCACAATATTCTTTGCCACAACCGTGATCTAATTGCGAAATTATGACAAAAGTGTTAATCTCGTGTGACCAGCACCTTCTTCTTCTTCTTCTCCTGCTCCACAACCATTTTACGATCAACGAATTTTCTAATAGTAACAACAAACACGTTACGTTCATTTTAAAATCACGTACAGTCTTTCCTTAGGTGCTTTCCAGTGAGCCATTTGAGTTACTCCTGAGCAGCTCAGAAGTGCTCCACAATTACTTTGCGCGTTCCAGTGCTTAGAGTGTAGCACACTTGAACTACTCATTTCTGTTATCCCCTGCCCCCTCGAGCACAAATCTTTATTTCGGTGTTCCATGCTCCTGAAGTCCGAAATGGTGTGGGTTAAGACGAGAGCGTTCCAGTGCTGCTTATGTCAAACAGTTCAAGAGCGTCACACTCCAGGAGCATGATACTGTAATAATTTAGGCACTGGAAAGGAGCTCTGGTTACACACAACGAAGGACTAATTAGGAGCTAGAAAGACAATCGCAAGCGAGTTATAGAATACAATCTTTGTAAAGTTGTTTTTTTTAAAGATAAAAGTCATAATGACATTATATTGGCAAAACAATGTAAAATTGTCAATGCTTTCAAATTTTTTATGTAGAAAAGGCTTCTGTTGCCAACAACATAGTTACTAAATTTTTGACTCAAGGATTTTTTTTTTTTTTTTTAAACAGACTTTAAATGCACACTTTCTCGCATTACTAGGACTCGCTAGGTCTCGCGGCCTTAGGTCTGTTCGCACAGAAATCACTAACCAGTCAGAGGAGTGAATTTCATTAGTTGAAATTAGTTTTCTGAATGTTTCTCTGACTGTTTTCAACCAATGAAATTTTCTCTAACGGGTTTGTGATATCTGTGCGAACAGACCTTTTATTTATTTATTTATTTGTTTTGAAGAACCAAAACGGGTTGTAAACAGTTTACAAATACCAACGGATTACGTTGGATAAACTCTTGGTTCTGATAAACGATTCAACTTTTCAAAATGATAGAACGTCACCCTCTGACTGTTATGTTACGACACAAAACACAATGTATTGGACATTATAATATACACTCTTAATTTAGGCTTGCAAAAATGGGACCGTTTGCAAAACATGATGTTTGGTTTCGGCACAAATTCAACATATCGTTCAGCCCTTAGAGCAGGTAAAGCACTGTCCTACGGACATAAGGAGTAGGAACGCGCTATTCTGCTATGAAACTAAAGTGAAGCCAAGTTTTTGGCAGGTGCTTGGCACCAAATACAAGTAAAGCATTGAAATTGCCTATACCGCCATTTTTTGGTGCCAAAATACTTGGAAAAAAACGGCTTCATTTTCCAAGTTCATGTTACTATACTTCCTTTACCTTTACCTGCTCTAAAGGTTCAGCCGAACAAACGTAAAGCGTTTTACTAACGTTTGTATCTACTGAACGCCCCCAATAACAATTAACAAACTAATAGGAAATGATACCAATGACAGATAGTTAATAAGCTATGAGGATAGGCTATCATGTGTAGTGTATTTGGGGTATTAGCACCACAGGGCACAGGTTATGATTGCGCTGGTTAGTTTTAAGTACATTAATCAACTTCCTAAACAACCCTTTTTAGATCTCGTTTGCATCGTCCTGTTTGCCTATTATATCAATCAAAATTAAATAATATTTTTCATCATAAATGTATTCTCTCAACAGCGCTGGCGCAAACAGCTAACGACACCGTTGATGACGTCGGTTCGGCAACGGTGCAACACCGCCAACACCAGATGACCAAAAATGGAGGCCGATGAGCAATCTTGTAGTATTATGTAATATCCTTGAAGTACAACTCACAAAAGATTACGTGCATGTCGTTTGTCACTTGCCAAAATGGAAAACCGCGAACGTTCTCAGTTACAGCACTTCACGTCGCTGAGTATATCTTCATCCCTTTCTCTCAGCCTGTTGAAGGAAGAGATAGAAATACAAGTTCTTTGCACCAATTCTACCAACCAAAAACGCCTAGTGCGCGCAGACGAGACATGTCATCGTTCATCGTTCTGTCATTCTGTCAAAGTCGAAAAATTTTGAAAAGTTATTTATCAAAACATAAACAAAATGAAAATTGTTTAATATTTTTTGTATGGTACATTGATATACGGTACACAGTATTTTAAATTTGAAGAAAAAATACTCACAACTAACTTTATTTAGATCATCAACAAATAAATATGTTTTTAAGAAGATTCTATTTTCTTAAAAATTGAAGAGAACATAGCAAATTTGGGGATACTTGTGAACTCCGCTGAAAATGATACCTCCATTAACTCCAGGGCAATCTGATATAAAGCAAAATTTGGTTGGATGGGTAAGAATTTTCCTCGGAATTTTCATTTTCCTATGGGAAAAAAAAAATCTAATGCAACCTGCAATTTTAAACACATTGCGAGTAATAGTTGGTAGTCGAAAAGCAACAATTATTTTAGTTCTAGTTTTTCTCTTTTTAGAAAAACACTTTCAATATGCGACAAATAACCCTCCTGGATTTCGCCTCCTCCACTAACTTTGCAGTGAAAAATGGAGTCAAATCGCCAAATCAAAACCAACGGAAACCATCCATTGGCAGTATTATGAGTGCCTCAAAATCGTTGGATTTATTGAGAAGAAATTTACAGACTGCTATCAACAAAGATATTGAATATGTTATAAAAAAATATCTTGATGTAAAGTTCACTTTAGTAAGATTTTCTTTTTGCCAAGGTGAAAAACTCAAATTTTTAGAAATTCTTCCAACCTGCTCTAGTCAACATCAGAAATAATTTGGGACCTGAAAGTGTCACTGATGAAAACGTGAGGGATGTTTGTAAGCAAATCTTGGAAGAAGCTAAAAGCATTTATGTTGCTCCTGCAAAACTTAAGGAAAATTATTCATCTTGCATATGTATCAAAAGTGAAGCTGACACAGATTCAATAAGTAGTAAAGTTCATGATTCAAATACGGTAAGTCTTCTCTCTAGACATGTGACTGCAGAAGCACCTAATTATTATTATTAAACAGTGTTTGAATAATTGGGAAATGGTAAACTTAATTTTTTTAACTTTAACTCTCACAAAACCAAGCTTTCGGAGCTTTTTTCTCCTTCAGGGCTATAAAAAAATTGATAAATATAATAGGTAACTGTAGGTTGAGTTATAGGTATAAATTGTAAAAAAAATATACAAAATGCATGTCTCAATTTATACTTTACTATGTAACAAGTTTATAACTTTTGGTTGTTTATATTTTTTACTATTAATCAACAATGAGGAATTTGCACATTTTGTTTTATTCTCTTACTAAATTCTGCACATTGTAAAAAGTTACTTGCCACATACTTAAATTTTAAATTTTCAACTAATAGTTTTTCTGTCAAAAAATATACAAATTCAATATAACTCTCTTGTTAAAATTTTAATGTTACTGTAATTAGGTTGATGTCCAGTATAAATGGAATGTTTAGGTAGCTATAGAACTGGTTTCTTTAAGCAATCTTATGTCACTTTTATGTCTTAAAATTCCGAGTAAAATTCTGTTTTGAATAGTTTGAGAAGTTTGGCCTATGTAAGTTTTATCACAATTTGTAGGTACTTGGAGTTCATGAACAACATTAGTTTTCATGTCTGTCATGACAACCCCAGCAGAATTCGAAAAAAAGTAGTAGAGAATTAGTTGCTATTTTGTTGCTAATTATTCACCATATTTTTGATTTTTTTACTCTTGCCAGTTTCGAAAAAATGCGACTCTGCTAGGTTGATATCAAGTAAGCAGAAAAAAAATTATTCCCAGCGGAATAAAAAAAATAGTTGGGAGTTAGTTACCATATTTTTGATTTTTTTACTTTTGCCGGTTTCGAAAAAATGTGACTATACCAGCCTGGCATTCAAGCTACCAGAAAAATGTTTTCATGTTTTATTTTTATTTTAAACCAAGGTACCTTATTATACATGAAAATCTATGGCTATTTTATTGATCAGATAATTACAGGAACCAACTTTCGAAAAGTCAATTTTTTCATCTATTCACTGTTGATCAAACAAAACAATGCGCGAACAAAAAACAATAGTCACAATATAGAATACATTTTTGACCTGATGATAATATATATTTTTAACTGTTTAAGGACCGATTAAGTCATATTCAGATAAACTTACTGATAACACTGTCTACGAGATAAATTCACCAATCTCTAATCCTATTGGTCGGCAGATAACTGGCCGACCAGTGGGATTACAAATTGCGTTTTTATCCCTCAGATAAGAGTTATCACCCATACCTTTTTGAATATTTTTCTTCTTTTATCGTCTCCCGTATTTACAGGCAGGAAAGGTCTCTACAGATTCCATTTTCCGTCAAAATTTCTGACGTAGGAATCTTAACTTATCTAGCAATCCGATATGTTTATTTTGGAACACACTTCGCGCTTCTTTCCTGTCAAAAACGCACCATTCATAATAATAAAGCACTGAATCTTGCGGATTTTAGTGCTCTTCAATTAACCTAAATATATTTTTTTTTCTAAAAAAATTAGGGATGCCAATAATAATTGATCCAATTAAAAATTATATATACTTGCCTAACAATTGCAGAATATGCATTTCTCAGGGTAAAAATATTATTAAAATCTTTTGAATTGCGCAATACAAAACCCAATAGCCTCATCGCTTTATTAGTAATCCTTTCTATATGCTCATGAAAATTTAATTCTACATCTAAGAACACCCCTAGATCTCTAATAACATTCACTCTTTCTAGAGCAACATTGTTGATGAATTAGTTGAAAATTAAAGGATTTTTTAGACGACTAAAGGACATTTTACACTTATCGATATTTAAACGAAGATTATTTGATTCGCACCATTCAAAAACCCATTCAGCTAGTTCTGCAGCGTATCACACTTACAAAGTTTTGTTTAACATCATTCAAGAATAAATTGAACAAGAGAGGAGACAAATGCCCGCCCTGAGGGACTCCTGATGTAACCTCAATTACATCAGACAGATAGTTTTCAATTTTAACCCTTTGTTTTCTATATGAAAGATAGTCGATAAGCCATTTAAAAAATGTCCCATGAAAGCCCAGTGCTAACAATTTCCTTGAAAGGATATTATGATCGACTCTGTCGAAGGCCTTGGAGAAATCGGTATAGATGGCGTCCACCCCCTCCAAGGCATCCAACAGGACCCGCTCAAACCAACAAATTTGAGGTGGTTAACTTGCCCTTCATAAAACCGTGTTGTTCTGGTGTAATTAAATGTTTAAACAAAGGTGTAATTTTGTCAGTTATTATAGCTTCAAAAATCTTTGAAAAAATAGGGATTTTGGAGGTAGGGCGGTAATTCTTGACATCACAATTGTTACCACTCTTGAATATTGGAGTTAAATAACTCAATTTCCAAATATTAGGGAAGTTCTCAGTTGATAGCGATTTATTAAATATTTGAGACAAAATAAAAGAGAAAAAAACAAATGCAGTTCTAGAAGACACACAGAAACACCTTCTGGACCACATCCTACATTTTTAAGTTGATAAATATTGTTATAAACATCTATGGGTTCTATTATGATATCACCTAGATTGACAGAGAGGTCACTAGATATATTCATCTCTTTGTGGTCATAGGATGTGTATACTACTGAGAAATGTTCACAAAAAAGATTTGAAATACCCTGGGGCGTATCACTTTTTTGATCCCCAAGCACCATTGAAGAAGGAAAACCTTTTGTTTCTTTTTTTGAGTTTATGTAACTCCAGACCCCATCCCTTTCCTGCACTCTACCCTCAATACTATCAAGATAATTTTGATGACTGATTGGGGCATGCTGACGAAGCTGGTAGAATTTTTGATAATCCAGTAATGATGACGAAATTCTGTAAGTTTTGTGAGCAGACTTTTTATTTAAAATAAGGCCTTTTAGATGATCGTCCATCTATCTAGGAAATTTTGAATTTTTATGCCTGTTTAGAGGTGTCGACACATGAATGGAATTGTCCAATGCCTCACAAAACAATTGCACACAGCCATCAACATCATGACCAGACAGTATGTTATTCCAATCAGCCATTGTGAAAGTTAGTTCAAATTCTCATATATGATATAATATGTCGGTTTTTTATCGTAAATTTGTCGTGAAAAAAAAATTGTCACGTTTTTTTTTTAAATACCCTGGTAGTGCTAGTTTGATATCAAGTTAGCACTACCAACATCACCCGTTATTCCTACAGAACTTTCATTAAGTGAATAATTTCTCGCTTTTTTGTCGTAAATTTGTCGTGCAAAAAAAAAAGTTGTCGCGTTTTTTTGTTCTTCTCAACTTTCTATCTATGATAGAAAAAAATTATATGACTTTTCAAAGTTTTCATAAATCTAAATCCTAAGGTTTGTCTGGCAAATTTCTTTAGCATTCGGCTATTCTTATATGGCCCAGTAAACATAATTTACTTGGAATCAGATTGTTCAGCTGACATCCAACAGCCTATCATAATTCAACCATTTCTCGCCGGCATTCGGTAGTGCCCCACTGCTACACTTACCTTAAATAGTATAATCGTGCAACAAATGGGATCCTAACCTATTATGGTGGACGGCCTCCCCAGGGGACACCAATTACCAAAAAGAAATAATCAAACCACGAATTGTTGTCCTGGGTGTCAGTGAAACACAACTTCAATTGGAAAAAAATGGTAATCATTTGAAGAGGAAGTTATTGAAAACATTTACAGCCAAATGCTCAAAGCCCAATACCAAACTTGATCAGGATCAGGAGGCTATATAAATAGTTGTTGGTACTTACGAAATTTAATAATTTGTACACTACTTAATAATCAATTATTAGAAAATTCGGTCAAGAATGCTCACTAAACTCGAAATGCTTTTCCTAAATGGTAAATAGTCTACTGCCGAATTCTGAATGACGAATATTTGAAATAGATAAGAAAAGAAAGGAACAAGCTTGTTTACATTACCCTGGTCCCTTTTTTTTATTACTTTATAGTGATGATTCATGAATTAGGTATATTGAGAGAAATAAATTCTTGCTGAAATCATAGCTGAAATGCAGGAATCATCAATTCCAGATTATAATAAATTTCTTTATTCTAGATCATTAAACAATAATACGAATCAAGACTTTTTATTTGCTTAGGGAGCGTATTGAATAATTTGACACACCTATAATGCGGCGATTTTTCCGTTAAAATAAGTCTATGTGGCTTGTACTTAGAATCCAATGTTCTCGTGTTATTTTTGTGACGGTAAATAAATATTTTCCGGTCAAGAAGAGAAGAAATCGCTCTATATTATAATATATAGACTCATTCTGCTAGCGGTAAATAAATACTTACCAGTCAAAAAGACTCAAAATCGATAGATGCTGGTCTGGGTTGTTGTATATTACTAGGTAGGTAATACGATTCTGCTGGCGGTAAATAAATATTTACGAGTCAAGAAGTCTCCATATTGCTCTAAATCGCTCCATATTATAATATAGACTCATTCTATTCTGCTAGCGGTAAATAAATATCTAACAGTTAAAAATATATATCATCATCATCACCTCAAAAATTTATTCTATATTGTGACTATCGTTTTTTGTTCGCGCATTTCTGTTTCATGAACAATAAATAGATGAAAAAGTTGACTTTTCGAAAGTTGGTTCCTCTAATTATCTGATCAATAAGTCATAGATTTTCATGCATAATTGATTAAAAATAAAAATAATACATACCTAATAACCTTTTTCTGGTAGCTTGAATATCAGGTTGGTTTTATCGCATTTTTTCGAAATCGAAAGAGTAAAAAAATCAAAACTATGGTAAATAATTAGCAACTAAATAGCAACAAATTCTCCACTAAAATTTTTCGAATTCTGCCGGGAAATTGAAAACATTTCTGCTAGGTTGATATCAACCTAGCAGAGTTGTATTTTTTCAAGATCGGCAAGAGTAAAAAAATATGGAAAATACTTGCAACAAAATAGCAACAAATTATCAACTAAATTTTTTAGAATTCTGCTGGGGTTGTCATGCTGGGTTGATAGACATTTAGTTTTCAATTCTAGTGGATCTTTATCTTTTAGTTTTGTATTCAAATTAAATTACCAATTGTTTTAATTATTTTAGAAGACATTTTGATTGATTAATTTTTGAATTGAAATATTTAGAAACTATTCTATTTATTTCCAATAGAAATTACATACCTACCTATTCAAAATGTATTAATCTATTTTACAAATACTAGGTACACCAATGGGCAGTAGTATTTCTCCAATACTAGCACAATATGTTCTAGATGATTTTATTGAACATTGTTTACCTATACTTAAAGTGATACTTCCAAGTATTTTGTACACCTGATTTTTGATTTTCATTACTTTAATGGAAATCAATGTAATCAAACATTAGATTTGGTAAAGTTTCATGATTTCACTTGATTTTAAGGATTTCCTTAGATGATTAATTGATTTTACACCATGCTGTGCTGTGAGTAATTTCGATCTTAGTTAAAGGTGTGGGGTGAATATCTGACCCAAAATGTGTACACCGAGCTCATCGAATGCCAACTTCCACAATCTTAAAGGGGCAACAGCACCCCATGTACACTGTGTCCCAAATTGCTTGTGAACATAGGATTTCTCGGTAACCAGCAGAGATAGAACTTTGCGGTTTTCGCGACCCTATATCAATTTTTCGTGAAACTTTGAATGCCTCAAACAGAATTGTGCCACCTTGTTTCGTTCCCCAGATACAAGGTGAAATAGAAATTTTGCGCTTTCTGGGGTGGTATCATATTTCGGACACCCTGTAAGATAGAAAAAAGGTAAAAACTGCTATAGATAGATATTTTCACATAGAATCCGGTGTTGTAGTCAATAGGTAATATTGCGTCATTAGGCTCATCGAGATTATTAAGTTTATCAAGTTCAGAGTAAAAAATGTTTATTTAAAAAATCAGTAATTTTGTTCAATTTTGCTTGTGGACACTTTAATACTTATAATTCACCATATTAGTTAGGTTAGGAAAAATCGGGCGCGAAATTTAAAATGGGTTCCTAAACACATTTCAACAAATTTGACAGCAATGTATTTCTTATGGGGGATTCAAAAGAGTGATTTTCAGATGGGAATATCTTGGGTTCTGGGCATTTCTTAGTATTTGAACCTATTATACGTCAAACTTTGAACATATTTCTCTATAATTCATGCTCTAATTGTTTTTTTTTGGACCTATGAAATAAAAATACAAATGATTTTAATTAAAAGTGTCTGTTTTCGGTGGACGTACGTCGGGTCTAAAACCAGCTGTAAGAAAGTGAGGTTGTGTGTTGTGTTATGATTGTTGGTGAATTGTTTATTTATTTATTTATTTATCACTAGTTCAGTCATTTGTTTTTCCATTTTTTTGGATTATTGAAGTACATTTACAAACCAAGTATGTAGGTACACTTTTATTTTATTATAATTATAGGTACTCATATACATATACTTATGGATCAAGCAACGACATACGTATTTTATACAAACATCGGCTTCCTAAATTGGTAATATTTTTATTTTAACAATGTTTATTCAACTTTCAAACACTCTCTCAGTTAATTAACATATTAAAAAAACTATTTATACAACTCAATTCCGTAACAAACGTTCTACCACGTCTACAGACGCTTTTAAAATTGAGTCCCCATAAGACATCAATGTATTAATTTTTGAACTAGAAACCCGCGCCAATTTGCGATTCTAACCTAACTAATATGATGAATTCCATGGCCAACTTATGTAGTTTTTCTTTCATTATTGCGTTTTTAAGGGTTAGCTTGAGTCACAAGTGCATAGTGTGATATATCATTTTTAAGAAACAAAAAAGAGAATTTTTTGGGACCAAAAATACAGGGTGTACCATTTAAAAAATACTAAGTTAGGGCTATATCTCGAAAACGGTTTGTCTAAATAAATTTTGCCTACAACACTGGATTTTAGGTAAAAATATCTATCTATAGCAGTTTTCACCTTTTTTCGATCTTACAGGGTGTTCTATTTCACCCTGTATCTCTGGAACGAAACAAGGTGGCATAATTCTGTTTGCGGCATTCAAAGTTTCACGAAAAACTGATACAGGGTCGCGAAAACCACAAAGTTCTATCTCTTACCGAGAAACCCTGTGATTACAAGAAATTGGGGACACAGTGTATGTAAATACATGCACATGGGCCAATTTTCGTGAAACGTTTCGAAGGTGCAAACAAAAAATCTAGCCTTAACACTCCCTGATCGATTATCTAAAGATTTGTGGAGTTAGTCTTTCCATATTTTGAGTATTTGTTTGTATGAAAAAATAGCAGGCTGTTTCTTTGGTTGCCTATCTTTTAAAAAAGATCTTGCTACAGATTGAAAATCGGTTTGAAGGTGCAAAAAAAATGGCTCATTAGAACTGGCTCAAATTTGGCATAAACATTCTTTGATCAATTATCTAAATATTTATATATTTATAATCCATAGCAAGACCTTTTTCAATAGATAGGCAACCAAAATAACACCGGGGTGCTGTTGCCACCTTAAGGGAATTTGCTAAGATTGCGAATCATTGTGTACGATTGTAAATCATTGGTAATGATTGTTAATGATTGTGACCAATTGTGACTGATTGTCAGGCGCGGATCCAAACCCAAATTAAGGGGGGGGGGCATACAAAATATTGGGAGGTACAGGGTGTCTGGTTATAATTTGACACCCCACCTTTATAGATAAATGATAGGTGCAAACACAAAAGTGGAGCAGTTTTAGCTAAATTATTGTCAGAAATTTGAAATTTTGCGTACTTTCAACTTTTTTCAAATAGAATGCCCTATATTTCATTCTATATTCTTGAAGAGCACAATTTTCCGATTCCAAAAATATATAGTTTCTCTATATTTAGTTGAGCCGTCTCCACCATATTTGGCTTCAAAAAAAAAAGAAGAAAAAAAAATTAAGAACATATATAAATTATTTGAGTATAAATTATTCATAATATTTATGATCTGTAGACCTAGACCATAATTTACAATAATTAATACTGGTTACCTTATTTAATTTAACATCAATTTTAGGCTTGAAAAGAAAAATATACATATACCTACCTAATTTCAATCAAAAAAAATAAATAAAAATACCATTACTTAAATTGTGATGTAAATATTATTTATGCATGAAATTTATACTTAATTTTTTATTGTTAAAAAATATATTTTGCATGCTCTCTATATAATGCATTGAGTTAAGGATGCTCTCAGAAAGGCTTTAGTATACCTGCCAAGACTTTTTTTCATGCTTATCTTTTCCTCAAGCAATAAGAGGAAGAGCAACATTAAAAAACTTTTATTAACAAGTAAAAATGATTCACTCTGGAAGATGAACCAGTTAAAAAAGTTACAGTACTCTACAGAATGGTTGCAATAGAGTACTTAGGTATACCTTTTATAGTTTTTCAGATATGATTTGCTAATGTTGAATGTTTGAAATCTTAAATGTCAAATGTCTGTAGGAATACACTTTAACCTCGACTTTATCAATTGTGGCAATGTTATAAAGTGCTAAAAATCGTTTTATTCTAAAGCTTTTGGGTTTAAAGAGGTAACAATTAACTTTTTTTTTTTAAAATTACTAAGTAAATGAACTATCATTATTACCTTACCCTACAATCAATTGTTGATTCCATCTTCTAATGTAGGAGTGCGTTCGAAATCACCCTAGGCGTCACACAGAGTGCACACCAGCTATGAATTATTCATGGCTGGTGTGCACTCGGTGTGACGCCCAGGGCGATTTCGAACGCACTCTTTTTATGAGCAAAGTCGCTCTGCAGTCACATCTTGGTCCATAATGAAATATTGTAAACTTTATTTGAAATTCAATTTTTAGAACACCATGGTTGCTCAACAGTCATCCAAAAGAAAAGAGTCTGATTTGGATCTTGAACAATTTGCATTATCAGTAGCCACAAAACGGGCTAAACCGAAGCCATTATCAAATTACTATAACGACAATATGGGCTGCAAGTTTTCTTTGAAACGTGATGGGCCAAAATGGAATCCTGAAAGAATTAAGGCCGAAACATTATTTATAATGGGTTCTAGAGCCAATAAAGTTTTGGGTAAGTTATTTATTTATTTAGAGCCAGTGCTTCCATATGAACAGTTAATCTTCAGCTATTTTTATGCAAAGGTAGTTATTATAAAAATACCAAAAAAATTTGTCTAGCTAAAATTTAAAATTGAGGATCTGAGTATTTTGAAGAATTATTTCAAGTATTCTTGATACATATTAGGGACTAGTTTGTTGTGGATTGTAGATTCTTGTGTAGACGTTATGAAATCATTTATCATATTGCACTGATGTATGCATTGAAAACGTCAATGCATTTGAATTTTTTGTAGGATAAGAAACATCATAATTTGTGAATTCAGTTTTCTTATTGCACATGTGAGTTCCACTCTAAAGTACCTATTGGATTTTTGGAAATAAGTAGAGCAGGCGTTGGAAATTTGAGTACCTATCTTATAGACGTTCAAACAAAATTATAGCTTAAATAGGGTAATTTTAAAAATGGAGGTAACATAAATTTAAAAAAGCAATGATTGCAAAAATAGCCAAACTTTAACCTGCTCAATAAAAGCACTAGCTCATAATAAAAATTGTTCGACAATAAGAAACGTAATAATGTATGTAGGATATGGTCAAACCAGAGGGAGACTTTATGTTCGCCATCCCAATCTTCTTCGCTACTGTGGTGATCAAGACGACAAAGAATGGTTGCAAGCCCAAAATCTACTTCCAGCCAACGGAGGCAAAATTTATATAATGCTTCTAGAAGATATTAGGGAATTAACGGAAAGTGATGAATATAAAAACAATCCAAACTTACAATTACATGAGCTTCATGGATTTGAAGCACCAAGATTCATGAATATAAAGATCAAAAATTTTCTAGAATATATTAAAAACGAAAAGAAACTTGTTGCTGTTGTTGATATTGATGATGATGACACATCTAATAATGCCATTACAAGTGATGTACAGTTGACCAGCGTAGCTGAAAAATCGGATGCGAATTTTTGGAAAACTTCCCAACTGAGACAACAAATTGACTATCCAAATATGTCTTCGGATATGAGTTCATTGTCCAGTAGTGTTATTTCCAGTATATTGGCAGGAACCTATAGTCCGGTGATTACTAACTTCAATAAGGATACTAGGGATAAAAAGTTTTAGTTTGTAACTGCCATAAAGTGATTTATTATTGTTTATACAGGGTTTTGATTCAATTTTTAATTATATAAGTTGTTATTTGGCTGAGTTCCAAATTTAGAAATACCTACAGCAAGAGCCTATTTTTTCAATACCACATAAAACGAATATTTAGATTTTAGAAGTAAAGTTGCATAAAATTTTATAAAATCAATCATAGGTAACAACCTAAAAGAAGCTAAAAGAAGTATTCATAGGAATAAAATGTCTGCCACCCTCACACAAACTACTGGGAAAATTTGAGCAATATACATATGAGTGCAGATATAAACAATCTCATTAAAACAAAGTAAACTTAATCCAATATATGCAGCGTTTTTTGTTGATGTATAGTCAGCCAATAAAGTAGTGTCGCGAATTAAAACTTTACTACCTTCAATTCAATTTCAATTTATTGATCAGTACATATAGAAAAAGTACAGGGCAGTCATAATTGCATGTATCACAAATCATACCTAATGCTATGCATTATAATACAATAATACAGAATACAGTAATACAATAATACAATAATACAAATACAATGACAGCCCAGCAGGAATACTGAATACTGAGCTCACATAAAATCATTGAGGTAAAATTCTAAAACATAAACTTTCAAATATGATTTTTGGATAATTGATAATAAAAAAATTACATAATTATCTTAAAGGGTTTTTTTTTATAGATCGTTGAATTTTTAATCAGGTACCTATATTACTTTATTGGCTGTACTTATATATGGTATTTAGTTCACAAGTTCGCCATGTAATACTGGACTTAGTTTCTGTTTTATAACTTCAGTTTATCTATGAAGCGGTTCAACGATAATACAAAATAAAAGAATAGATTAGTACAAGCGAGCAAGCAACCACTGTGGTTTTAAGTGATTTAGCTTGAATAGGTATACTTGCTAAAAAATAGCACTTGTGCTAGACATGTTACTGCTAGACGATTAAAGATACAAAATTGGTATTCAAAAATTTGAGATCGAATGAGTGGAAAAACAAGCTTTTAAAAATTAAATTGTTCTAGCCCTCTTTCCCTAAAATAGGAAGACAATTTTAAAATTTCCACCGAAAGTAGGTCTTGTGAGAGTGGTAGGTAGTTGTTGCTTAATAAGCGATACATTTAGTAAATTGTTTTTCAAGCTGAATGCTAAATTTATTACTTCAATCTTATTTATTTCAGTTAAATTCTTTAAGTGCCAATAGCTCAACCTCAGTTAAGAACGCTCAGATGCTAGTCACTAATTAGATATTAAGAAAAAAATTCTGTTAACAGATTGAATGAAGTTTTGAATGTAGATTATTCAAAGGCAGAAAACTTTTAAATTTAGAATAAATTTTTAAAGCTTCACTTTCAACTGTTGATATAAGCACTATAGTCCTTGCTATAAGAAATTGTCAAACAACCTTACTGTTTTAGTGGTTAATCAATAAAACTATTCAGAAAAAATTGTTTTTATTTTTCACTCCGAAAAACAAATAATGTAAGTTTTCAATTTTAAATAGGTAGGTACCTATATTCCTGATATGTTTTAGCAGCTTCACTGATTGTAATGAAGCTTGTGTCATCTAAAAGGAAAGTTGTTTGAACACCGCCAAACGTAAACTTATTACTGTGATTACACGCAAATATGTTCAAGTCATGTCAAGTGACATGTATTTAGAAAAGCATAATTTGTTTTATAATACAATAAAAATAAAATTTGGTTTAACAATGGTAAAACAAAACAAGACAAAATAGACACTTGTAGAACAATATAAGAATCGGCAAACACGAGAGTAAGTCCATCCCTCTCTACATGAAATTATGGTTTTTTTCAAGATACTCTTTGATGTTGTAGTGAGCTTTGCCTTTCAAATAACTCTTGACATTTGCCCCAAACGTTTTTTGGTTTTCCAACCCTTGTACTGCTATTGGATCGGCAGTAGAATGTAGAGTATGCTGGTCCCATTCAAGGTTTTCCTGAATTGTAAATGCCAGAAAGGACCCCGCACTAATCTTATGGAGAATGGCTGTCGGTGAAATTGTCTGAAATTTGGATGTGTTGTGCTCCTGGACATTCTAAACCAAAATTATCATTGGTACAAAAAAATCCAACAAGCCATTTTTGAGTTATAAGTAAGATGAAGACAGAGTCTCCAAGTATCAAACCCAGTTCCGGGATGGAACCAAAAATGGGTTGTGTTTTCTCTCTGCGGGACCTAACCGTGCTGATGATCTGTGATACAGCGAAACGCGTCAATCGGTCCTTAATTGGGCCGTTGCCTAATTAAAAGTTTTTGAGTTATGTTAAGCTTGAAAGATATCAGATGCAACACACTTCAATTTCTTATCACTTTATAAAAATGTAGAAATGACATTCATGAACAGTCAGAAATAATCGCCCAGCGCCCAGCTAAGTTACCGATTTATCTTGGAACGACGGCATTGAGAACATATATGGGCGATGCTTTCTGACAGGTTGCAAACTGTCTAGAAGACTATTACTTCACATACAAGGGCCATATTTCTCTGACTAACGTAACAATAATGTAGCAATGTGACAACGCAAATTTGAAAGAAACATAGATGGTATGAGGCAGTGGATTCAAGAGGGCGACATTTTCCTAGAAGACCGAGGATATCGAGTTGCTGGTCCACTGCTTCAAGGCGTAGGCATTTGTCTACAAAATGTCAATACCTCTAAATTGGGGACAATTTGAACTAAGATACTACCGAAGAAGCAAAAGAATCACGTTAAGTAGCAAAAACCAAGTGGATATAGTTGAACCACGAAATGGACACTTCAAATCAACTTTTAAGTTTTTAATGAATGACATACTATCTTAATGGCACATCTTGTTTATCTCGGCTACCTTTACTCTACACTACAGAAATGCTGGAGCTATTCTAAACCGATATTATACGAAAACATTAGTAGAGAGTAGGAGCAGAAAGTCTAAGAGCCAAACACGGTAGATGGGTTTAGTTAAATCCGAACCACTCACCTAATTTCCCTCGTCTTACTCTAAACGATCTGCGGGACTTAATTGTTGGTATTTACCAAGTTGCTTGGTACAAGACGCCATTATGCACCATGAACCCTTCTCAGGCTCTGAGCAAGACAATTGACTAACTGAAACTGGGTTTTTAAGAATTCGTGTATTTTCTCGCTTTCGTATTGAGTCAATTTTAGGATATTATTGTACCTACAAATCTGAACCAAGAACTCTGGGAACTAGAACTAGGATAATAAATCTATGCCAACAACTGACCCGGAGAAACCTTTAAATCATAGTAGAAGCCGTACTCAATGCGATAGAAGAAAACCTGCCGTTGGGCGTTCAAATCGCCTATAGAACTGATGGTAAGCTATTCAATCTAAGCAGACTTCAAGCCAAGGAAAAGGTATCCATACCTAACAACTCTTTGTGAGTTTCAATATACTGATGATAACGGTGTCCTGGTGAATACCGGAAAGGACCTGATCATAAGTGCATTTCAGCAAGCATACGAAAGTATCCGTCTAGAACTCAACATAGAAAAGATAAAAAATCATACCAGCCTGCCCCAAATACGAATGCACCAGATCCAGCTGTAATTGTTTTTTGTTCTCATTCCTTTATTCATCCAATTTTTGTTGTTGTTTTCTACTTCAATGATTTTTATGGGATAAGCTTCATTAAACATCTCTAAGTTATAGAATAGAAATCCTCGAATGCATTTATGGTGCCCTCGTACAATTTTTCTTTCCAAATTATACAGGCTAGTTTTTCAGAGAATTTTTGAAAGTTCCTCTCGTTATAGATCCTCCTCCTGGCAATGGGTCCACTGGTCGTTGATGTTAATCAGATCAAATATGATACTAAGGCATAAAAAAGGAAAACCAGCTTGAAATATCGTCCTCATCATTCTTCTTCTGTCGTTTTGATCCCTACAATTGCCAGAGTCAAAATGTGCTTGTAAACTGAAACGCGGTCGAAGGATTCCGATGGGCGCCCGATCTACAACAGGATTAGGAAAATTAAGAAATAAGCCCTCACCGCAGTTTCTATATAATCTATCGTTTCTCAAATGAGACAAGGCAAAAATTGGGGTCTTCACAAATTATCGTATTGCACCTTGAAATTATTATACTATTATTGAGCGTGCCCGTATACATTGGATGCGAATCCATGTGTAAACAATGTTGTTTAATACAGTCAACGTTGACTCCAGGAATATCTTATTGGTTAGATTTTTTAGCGCCGTCTTTGGCGGCATATTTCTTTGAAGCGGCTGCCGCACAGGAATCAGTTTCGTCTGGAAAGACAGTGCAGTAGATATTTTTTATAAATTTGATTCCTATTTGAGTTGTATTGTGCCTTATGTTTTATTTTATATAAATTTCTCTTACTCCGCCCGTTCTTCATAAAGAAAACGCCAACGGCCAAAGGAATTCTATTTTTAGCTTCCTAGATAGGAAGCTATGGTGATAGCCCGATTTTGACCATGTCAAAATATCATTAAATCTTGACGTTTTGGATTATTTTAAGCCTTTTTGGCAAGGTGGCACATTTCCGTCTGTGCGTGTGTATGTATGTGTGTAAGTGTGTATGTGTATGTTGTGTGTTGGCATTTTTCTGAGAAAACGGCTCGATGGAATTTGATGAAATTTTGGAAATAGGTATAAGAAGACGTGTAGGGAGAAGTTACACAGGATATAGGAAAAAAAATTCCTCTCAAAGATATGACGTCATTGATCTCTATTTCAAATGGGAACGCCATATTTTTTTTCATTGATTAGATAGAGCTCATTTTGCTTTATATAATCTCAAAAATCTCAATAGGTTTCATTGGGACATTTTTGAAAAAAACCAGATGTCAAATTTTTGACATAACGCTTCCTAGAATCGTGAAAAATTATCCGTAATTTTGAAGCTCTCGTGGTATTATGTGGTATTATCCCCGAAAAATGATATTAAAACCTGAAAAAATGTCAAGATTTATTAAAATGAATTCATGTTTTGAAATGACAATTAATGACAACGACAATCATTAATTAGGTAGTTATTTATCTAGGAAGCGTTATGTCAAAAATTTGACATCTGGTTTCTACTGTCTCATTTGACTATCGATAGACTATAACAAATATGTAGCGGTCACAATATTACTTATGAGCGTTACTTATTGTCTCTATCTAGACGTAAGCATATTTGATCTGAGAAAAAAGTAGATGCATTGCTTACAAATTGTAGGCATCTGAATCTCTTAGACTGGACTTCCTCGAGTACAAAACAGGTACTGGCGTTTCTTGTGCATTCGCAACTAAATTTTCCGCTTCTGTAGGTGCCAGCAGCTACTACTGTTTACTGTTTGTATTTATATCAGAATTAATTGGTTGGCAGTATGTTGTGATAGTATTAAGCTTAATTTGTTTTATTCCCTCAGTATTCTCATTTGCCTTGTTCTTTATTAATGATCTTTAATTATTTTTTGATATTTTTTGTTTGTACAACTTCACGATACTCTGTTAACCGTGTTTCAATGATTTCTTGGCGTCATTTTTAACTCCCCTATACAGATGGCACCTAAGCTTGACCCTTTGAAATCACTGAATCAGTTTTCAACACAAAAGTTTTGCTTTCAGCCACACGTCCTAATTTCTAAGTCCGACAAAGAGGATAACATATTGATTATCGCGGTAAGCTATAGAAAGGTTTTTTGTGTTGATGTTGAACTTGAACATTTATAATGCATAGGTACATGTATTTACTTTTTTTGACAAATATCCAACAAATCATCGACAATATAAAAACAAGGACTTGCTTCTGTTAGCGCTGCTAAAAGACAAAACCTTTTTGTTGTAAGGATATGCTAGCAGATTCTGATTTTTTATAATCTCACTTACTACCTAAGGGTTGGACCAATTCAAAAGTTTGCACGTAATTTTTGTTTTTCGGACCCTTCACTGAAAAAAAACAGTGAAACTCCTGAACTTCCGAACAAACCGAATATAGGGAGAAAAAGCATCCACTTTATATAGGTTACTCACCTGATGTACGTAAAGAACGAGTTGGAGTAAATTTCTATGAATAATAATTATTAGATATAAACAGTACCTACTGGACATGAGGGCGCCTATCCGCAACATGCAATTTCGTATCAATATAAGTAAATGCAAAACGGCAAAAATATCATAATAATTCCTTTGAACGAAATTGGTAAATACGAATATGAGAGATAATGTTTTTACATCTTGCCTGAGTCAGTCTCATTTATAAAGAGGCGGTGATATAAAGGACTTAACAATGTATCGCCCTGTTTCCATACTTCCATAAGTTTCTCCATTTCTTTTAAAAACAAATTGGATGACTTTGAAGACACTAATCTTTTTGCTATTGATCAATTTGGTTTCAGGAAATAACGGTCCATATGACTCCATCCTTCTAATTTTCGTGTTTTAAAAACTGTGTAA